GACTCAGAACCCATCCAATCACTGAACAGATGTTTAGAACAGACACATGTGTGGGTATGCCAAAGCTTTCTCCAGCTGAACAGAAACAAAACCAAAGTTATTGTATTTCAACCTAAAGAGAAGCTATCTGGAGTCAATGCAACTAGTTGTAATAACTAGTTTCTAGTTATTATATCAGTGATGGACTCTGACCTGAATCTTTAGAGCCACATAAAGACAATTACAAAATGTGCTATACAAATAAAATTTGTTTTGATGTAATGACAGCTGTCAGAACAGCAATGTCACAAGTTAATCCTTGAAAATGTAGAAGTTTTGTCTCAGGTTTTAATATTATGTGATCCTGTAAATTTGACCATGAAATCATATGAAATTCAGATCTGTTTTGAAAATGTCAATGTTTTCCCTCAGTAAATATATTTCTAACATTTCTATTGAGATTAAATTTAAATAAGATGTTGGTAACAAACCTACTAACCTCTATCCATCCATCCATCCATTTTCTGAGCACCCTTCTCCCTAACGGGGTCAGGAGGTGCTGGTGCCTATCTCCAGCTGCGTTCCGGGCGAGAGGCGGGGTTCACCCTGGACAGGTCTGTCGCAACCTACTAACCTGCAGATTCAAATAAATCAAAATAAAGTAATTAATAAATGAAATTATGTGTGATGAAGTGGAACAATTCTGTTGCCATGTGATTATGATGGCAACATAATAAGAGAAAAACTTTGCCCAAAATCACCAAAGTACTAAATGCAGGAAAAATATCAGAAGTCACTGCATATACACCAACAATATTTATATTAAAAGGTGTGGCTCGATTTAGTGATGAATGCTATGAGTTCTGTCAATGTTTCAAGTTACCATAAATATAAAATAGGCGACATTTATGAATGTGTTTACAAGTCACATGTCATGTAAATGTATACATGAAGTAATGGAGCAGCTTAAGAAAAGCCAGTTATAAAATACATTAGATTAAGCTTACCGTAATCTTTGACGAAATAAAACATATGAAACAAAACGTCATTTGTTTATCTGCTGTGTCTTACTCAGCAGATAACAAGTCTGCTGAGTAAGACACACACACACCAATATTATGTTGGTGTGTGTGTGTCTACCAGTCAGAACACTGGTATCATCAGAACATGAGGTTCAGCCATCTTTTGAATTTCTTCAGAAATGCTGTAGTTTGCATTTTAATTCTGGGCATATTCTTTTGCTACCTGAAATTCCAGAATGTGTTTCAGCTCTTCTTTTAATACTATTGATTATTCACTTTGGAAGATATTCAGCACTGTTATGACCTCTCACATGGCACACCTCCCTCGTTCTTGATGAGGTTCTCCTTGATTGACTCATCTTGTGCCATTCTTCAGCATGGTTCTGGTCTTGTGCTGATGTCTCTGTCTGTGAGACGTCTCTGTGGATAATGGCAATCTTTACAAATTGAAATGTTCTTCCTCAGCACATTCTGCTGGTGACAGATGATGAGCAGCAACTGTAGGTGGGGATGGAGCATTCTGATGCATGTTTGTGCGTCGTGCTAAGTGTTTGGGCTGCTCATAGGACAGTAATATGGTAAATGGCCTGAACTTGAATAGCCCTGTATGTAGTCTGGAGGATTCTATGCTACATTCAGTCATTCACACACACATTCACACACTAATAGTGGTAAGTGACTTTGTAGTCACAGATACCTTGGGGCACACTTACTGAAGAAAGGCTATGATTCAATTGGAGCCACTGGGACCTCTGACCACCACCAGCACACAGTGACGTGTCCTGCCCAAGGACACAATAATGGGTTGTGGGTTCAAACCAGCAACCTGATCTAAAAGTAAAAATGAAAATAACTAAGATTTGAACTTAACCAAAGCAGATTTGAATATGAAGATCTAAAATCTGTAACTGAAAAGAAAATAACTGAGCTAAACTAAATTTTCCTTGAACTACAGTTTTTTATTTTTCAGATTTCGATATAAAAACTTAAATGTATAATTCCTGAATTGCAGAAAAACTACATTTTCAAAACTGTTTCGGTTACATAACATGAACCACTGACAGAATATTTTAACCTTAGTTTTTCCACAAGCAGCTGACACAAATCTAAAAAAAATATCAGTTTTGAATGGCACCCTCTAAATAGTTATTTTGCAGCTTCAAAGTTGACCTATATTAAAAATGAATTTTCCTCTCTAAAAGGAATTTCAATGGTTCTGCACAACAATCAAACAGTGTGCATTTTAAAAATGTGTAAGCAAAAGAAAGCAAGGTTTGAAATAGGCAGCAGTATGAGCTTATTAATCTTATTCAAAGATTTCCAGTTTGCATATTCTCCATTTCTGTGGCGTCATTATGACGCCTGTTTGTGACCAAGATGCTGTCCTGATGGGGTATTATTGAGTCCAGTTCATAGAATTTTGGAGCCTATTAAGAATCAGATTAATTTATGTTTTCTTAAATTATTTATGTTACAGTTTAAAGAATATGTGAATTGTAGATCTATTGTTGTTTATTTGTTTGTTTGTTTGTTTGCTTGCTTGTTTGTTTTGCTTAGCCCCTCCTCCCTGTCAGTCAGCCTCCTCCTGCTGTGATTAACAAGCAGAAGCAGCTTCTGTGGTTGATCTGACTGTTTGGTGAAGGAGTGAGGAGTGGTAAAAAAATTTTTTACCACAAATTAACATTTATGTTTACATTTTTTGCATGAAGATGTTATTTTTATGAGTAAAGAAAACACACCTTTTGAAACCAGAAAACTCTCCACGAGTGCCTTTTATTTTGAGTGAGTCAAAAACCTCCTCCTAAAAACTATTTTTTTTGGGGGGACCTTAAATGTTACAAGAGTAGCCATGATATAGAGTTATCTAAAATCATGTGAAGATGAGGCTTGGTTTGGGCTGAACACAAAAGATTCTGTGCGTGCATGTGTGTGTGTAGGTGTGCGTGCGTGTGTGTGTGTGTGATCTACAATATTATGTTCTTTTGTGTTTGCTGATAAAGAGATGTCTTATCTTTGTTTAAACTGTTAACATCTGAATCCTCTTAAAGAATTCCTAAATGTTGGTTTGTCTGTTCCAAAAATTGAAGACAGTCTCTGCTAAAGCCTTGTCACCTACATGCTTCACTCAGAACCTTTTGCTGCTGTTTGATACATAGGTCAATAAATAGAGTGGACGAGGATCATCTAACACTCTAAAAGTAAGACAGAAAAAAGTATCAGAGTTTATGATTCATGACACTGGCATGACAGATAAAACTCACCCTAAAAAAATTTATTGAAAATTGTTGTTTGTAACCATGGAAAGATAAATTGATGGGAGCTCTCTGAGAGACCACCATGTGCTGTCCCTATAAATATGCATAAATAAAATCATCTCTTTATTGAGCAGAAAGTTAAAATCTGAAAACATTGGCACCTCTTTAGGATTTGTAATGATAGGACATTATGTATATCTGCTCTTGTTTGTTCATGATCATTTTTTTCTGGCTGATTTGCAGATTTTTTGGGAGGATCATCTAAGTATATTAGTTTGGGGATCGGGCCTGTTAACTGATGAGACTGATCTAATTCATTGTAATCACACAAACAAACTAACCAATTAGCTTTTGGATTATCTGTAATTAAAAACATTGTTAATATACATAAGTTTTCTGTAACAAGTCCAAAATATGAAATGACCGACATTAAAAATAGAATAAGGTGGAGAAAAGAAATGTTGAAGACAGTTGTATTTTTACTAGTAATGTGTTCCAAATGATCTGGATGTCTGTGAATGTGTTAAAGAGTGAAATAGTGTCTGATAACAGCTGCATGCAGGTTCTGAGACTGCAGAATGATAACAAACCGTACCCACCCATCAGTGGGTGGGGTCAGCACAACTGACATGAAGCATGGTGGTCACCTTAGCCAAGGGCATTAAATCTACTGATTCACAGCTTTTTAGTTCAACCTTTTCCTGTTTTCATTTGATTTATTTGGTGAACCTTAGAAACAGGTATATTGGTCAAGTTCTGAGTTGCACTTGATTGTTACATTGCACAGTCCTAAAATAACAACAAAAAAAAGCCTGTGCAATGTTTTTGGTTTTGCTATGCTGTTTTTTCTTATGTTGCCTTTCCTGTACAGTCTCTTTCTTTTTAAAAGTGTTATTGGCTCCAGTGGCTTTTATTTGATGGTGAATTGGCAGGAAAATGGGTAAAGAGAGAAGGGGGAAGACATGTGTTAAAGGTCACCAGGCCAGGAATCGAGTCTGTGACAGGCTCCATATGTGGCTTGTGCTTAACCCCGGTGCCACCACAGCAGCCCTCCTTCTCTTTCTTGATTTTGTATTTTTGCATTTGTGTGAATCTGGAGAATTCCATTTCCGTGTCACTTTACTGTGGATACAGATGCATTTCTATTTTATTCTATTCTCTATACAATGATCCATCTATATTGTGGACATAAAAAATAAAACATGTGTTATGGATTAAAGAAAAACTGGAAGCTTTTCCTGACATGTTCTTTAAGTCTTCAGCTGATGATGTAACACATCCAGCTCAGCAGTGATCAGCATGAAGAAAGGTCTGAACTTTCTTGGATGTAAACTGTACTAAGCAGCACTATTACTTAAGGTTCGTTAAGGGCTCATTCGGTGTGCTTTTGTAATCTTTGTTTTGTTAATTTGTTTTCCATCTTTCCTCTTGGGTTTATGGTCTGGAGATAATTTTTGTCCAGATTGTGTTTGTGCTAATATTTATGCAGTGATACTGCTGTTTTGGTCCAATAAATAATACATAGAAGACCATCTTCACATAGTTACTGGTGGATATTCGATTACACATTTTTGCATTTGGTAATATAATTGTTATTACCAACAATTATATTGGTTGAAATAAAAAATGTAACTCATAATATACAAATGGCGTAGAGTCAATTAAATAGTTAATTATAACATAACTACTCATATATTTGAAAGTTTTTGTTTCTGTAGGAATAAAGTCTCACTAACTCACAAAGGAAGTTTTCAATAAAATTGCTTTTATTTAGCAATTTAATGAACAGAATACAATCCAAGAAAAGACTCGAGCTTGGAAAATATTTCATAAAACACACAGGCTTTTATTAGCAAATAAATCTGAAATAACTCCACATACTTCACAAACAGGCATAATATAATTATAAGTTAAAGATTAACAAAATATTCAGTAATTCATTTTGTCATTTTTTAGACCTCAATAAATCTTAGTATAAAGATAGCCAAAATTTCAAAGATTATATTTTTAAAATAACAACCACACTCATAAATTTAATGGATATGTTTATTCATGCATTAGTTTGCTATTCGAATGTTTCAGAGATTACAAATAAGATTTAACAAAAATGTTGGCATTTATTCGTCCTCAGATGAAAACAAAGGCAAAACATTCTAGAGATAAAATAAAGCAGAAGGTTTAATTTTCAAGTAGCTGGAGACAAGCAGGAAATTAAAAAGCTGTTTCTGTGTATTAATAGTTCTAAGAATGAACATGAAAGGGAAAGCTATTGGATAAAGACACTTTGGAATACAGCTGTATTAAACACATCACAATTTGTCAGAGTAAATATGACTTTTTAACCAGGTGTTTGTAACATTTGAAGTAATCCATATATAGAAGAAACCAAAACAAACAAGTTCAAAAATTAAGTTATGTGCAGTAATGAGGGAAAAGTATTGAACACACAGAAAGGGAAGTGGAAAAAGACATGGAAAGCCAAGACACCAGTTCAAAACCATCAGTGATCAGAAAGACATCCTGCAAATGAATATCAGCTGGTTCAGTCCAAACTAATGGCCTATAGAAGCCAAATTGCTGAAAACAGTTCTAGTTGTTGCAGTTTCATGACGAAAATTGCTTTATTTTGTTCTCTTCCTTATGCTGTTGGCCCCACTGGTGAACTTCTTGCCCCTTCTCTGAAAGATTGTGTGATTGATCTGAATTTCATGGTGTGTTTATTCAGGAAACTGTCACACAATTTACATGGGCTGTTGATCTGACTAATATCTGTGCAAGGTAGGACAGATAGTCGGGTAGCACAGATAGTCAGAGCACTGGTCTTTCAGTCAGAGAGAAATTGACTGAAATTGTTGAAGTATATACTGAGGTATTACTCTGGCTGTTTTCTCAGTCTAAGCAGGAGAATGACTCATCAATGCCTAGCGTTTGTCTTTTTGTTTTTTTTAATGACATGGGAAAAAAATAATTTTCAGACTGTCAAATATTATTCCCCTCTCCTCTGAACTTCTCAACTCATAATAGTTTTTTCTCTGCCATAATTGGTATGATTGTAAATTATATACATGGCAAAAAACACATCAAGATGTATTCTGCAGTGGGAGGGAAGCTCACTTCAGTGTGTTTTGTGGACCGTAAAAGGTCTTTGCACAAATGAAAATTTGAAAACAACATGGCTGTACATTGACAGTTCAACTGTGATTGAGCTACGCTGGGCCCTTCAGGAAGATATGGAGTTGGCAAGTAGAATTGTTTCAGAAAACAATAAGCTGTGGTCTGTATGTACGCTCCCCATGCAAAACTCCATGTCTGGAGTCAAAGCAAGTTTAAGCTTGTTTAATGTTTGCTAAACAACATTTGGACAAGTCTGAAAAGCACTGGGAGAACACAGATTAGTCAGATAAGAGCAATATCGAACTCTTTGGATGCCATAACAAACACATATTAGAAGGACAAAATGAACTGCCCCACAAACGCCAGGCAGACAGTGAAGTTTGGAGTTGGGAACATCAATATCTAATTCTGCATATGGTACTGGCAGAAATCATGTAATTGATGGAAAGATGAATGGTAAAAAGTACAGACATCATAGAGAAAAGCCTTCTGACAGACGAAAAAAGGCTGGACATCTCAGCAGGACAATGATCCCAAACACAGAGACAAGGAAGCTCTCAACCAGCTGCAGAGACAGAACATAAAACTGCTAGAATAGCACAATTCATTTTTTATTATCACTCATAATTTAATTTCTGAACTGATTTGTTTAATTTTTTCTATGTATGAATTTAAGTTCTCTTCATTCCATTGTTACCAACACCTAGCATCAGTAACACCAGGTGTTCCATGTCAATAGCAAAAATGTGCTTACTATGAAAAATTATGACGTGTTCAATAATTTGCATACCCCCTGTATAACTAAGATTTACTTAAAGGAAGCACGGACTTGACGGCCCTTGAGGAGCTGTGGAGGACGGAAGTTGTCCACCATGCAGCACGCTGCCTCTCCTTCTCCAGTGAACAGGAGGCTTCGAAACTTTGCCATCTAATAGAATACAGGAGCACAAAAACAGTTATGAAGTTCCTTCGACACAATATATGTTGCTTTATGTCAAAACATCATAGTTATTCCCAACAATAACTATTTTCACCCTCCCACCATGATTCACCTACTTTTCATAATAATCTCCATGTGACAGCTGTCCCTGCTGTCACAGAATAAAAGTAATTATTTTCTGTTCTTCTTTAATATTACTTTATATATTTGTTTGAATAGTTTAGATTTTTATTTTTAAATTTGTCTTCATTAATTTGACCAATTTAGTTAACTATGTGTAGTGCACCCATTTAGTTAACTTTATTTGTCAGTTCTTTATAATTTTTGTTAAATGCACTAAATTTCTTTTGTTTGAGTTTACCAGTTTCCCCTGGAGCTACAGATGATTTCCAGCTGATGCCCACTGGTGGTCAACTTCCCAGTGGGCCATTCCATCTGCTCACCAGGGGAGGGGGAAATTTGTTTTTTTAGTTTAGTTTCATTATTTCTTTAATGTTTTTTCTTTTGAAAGTTAGTTCAGTTCTAATCTTTATTTAATTTAAAGATTTAGTAATGTTTCTTTGTATTTGTTTGTGTTTTTTGTGTGTGTTTAATTATCCCTTTTGTGTTTAGTAATGGTTTGATCACCCACAATTTAAGTTCTCTTCATGTCTTGTTAGTTAGGTCAGTTTTTTGTTTGAGTTCTTTGTGTTGCTACCTGAGTTGTAGTTTGTTATGTTGACCTCAGTTTTGGGCCCGATTTATCATTTTGAAATTATTTGTGGATTTTTTTGTAATAAATTAAAATTTATTTTGAACTTTACTCAATACTCTCTGGCTGGTTTGTGGGAAAACCTCACACTCCATTACTCATCAATTTTGATAGAAGCAAGTCCTTGCATGTATTAGGCTGATGAAGCCAAAACATATCATTTTAATAAAACCTTATTTTAACTGGCTGAGTATTTTGTGATGGTAAAAATTGCTTTATCAAGTACACAGGACCCCAAAGTGCTTCACACTACACTGATTCGCCACACCCTGATGGTGATCAGCGACTGGATAGCAGCCACTGCTGCCCTGGGCAGTCTGACAAACCGGAGCTGCTGTGCACTGGGGCCACCGGTCCTGACCTCCACCAGCAGGCAAAGTGGGTGAAGTGTCTTGACCCAATACACAATGACTGAGTGGGGATCAAACCGGCAACCCATTAATAAAGTTATGAACTCCTACCACTGTCGATGGGGTGTCAATATCTTTTTTTGCTACTTAAGCCTTTTTTAAACAACATTAGAAATATACACTAAGAGGCAAATAAACAAATAATTGTGTTTATTGTATAAACCCTTAAATGTCACAGCAAAAACACATGCAGGCATAATTTGCAATAACAGCATTATTATTATAGGGACAATCCATGTGACACTTTCAAAGCATGATGGCACACCTTTTGGTGACAAGTAGCAAAGGATGCTAAAAAAAACAATGGCCTTTTTCTAGTCTGTATACTACAGTTAATGATTGATTATTCAGATATTGACAGTGATGGTGTAGCTACTTTGAAAAAGTTACTTTAATCGGATTATTGATTACTCCTTGAAAAAGTAACTTAGATAACTGATTGCTTGATTTGGAAAGTAACTAAGTTACATTAAAAGTATCGTTTTTAGTTACTTTCAGCAGACCTGTGAAAATGACATTGATCTTTGCCAATACTTAATTGCAAGTTATTTTATAATGGTAACATCAACAATGTGTCTCCGCTTATAAGGATGAACTGAGAGGGAGATTGTTTAATGTTTAATGGTTACAACAGTCAAAAAAAACGTTAGTAATTTGTCCATGTTCTGCGTTACGGCCCTGTGTTTGGTGTCAAAGCACAGCTCACAGAGCTCTTCCTGCCGCTTCACAACTCAGATATCCTGCTAAACAGATTTGTGACACCTATCTTAATATTAATAATTATAATTACGTTTAGTTGCATAACTTTACGGACTCGTTCATTCATGGCTGTTTTCACGTTCATTGCGCTGCTCATATTAGTCTCAATGTTTGCAGTTTTGTGGAGCGCAGCGCCAAGCTCAATGTCATTCAGGTGATATATTACCTTGACATTTACAAAGACACAGCGGGATGGATCATCCAGGAAATTATGGACAGGGACAGTCTGACTAAAACTAAATGGATGTCAGACAAATTCTGGGGTTTATGTCTGCTTATTTCCAAGCCCAAAAACTGCAACCTGTGACTCATAAAATCTGCAAGCAACTTTAGAAAAAAAAACAAGCCCAAAGCCGCTTACAATAATCAGACTTGGCAAGCGAAACTCAAAATAGTTCCTGTTTTTCCAGCAACAAAATGTGCATTTCCCTCTTCCCTCCATTGTTTATGTTTCTGTTGCTGCTGATACTGTTGCTAAGAAATGGTGGTTAGTCCCCAAGATGAAATAAAATTCAATTCCAAAAGAAAATAGTACCGCACAGTGATTTCAATAAGTAACTGTAGTCTGACTACTGGATTTGAAATAGCAACATGTTAGATTACTTGTTACTGAAAAAAGTGGTCCATTACTGACATCACTGGTTATCAATTGATCCAGTTAATTGTTTCAGTCCTAGTTTAGGCGGGGTCACCCTGTAGAGGTCACCAGTCCATCGCAGGCCAAAACAGAGACAAACAGGATAACCATGCACACACACACATACACTCATGCAGGCACGCAGATGCATGCCCGCGCACACAAACACACCTAAGCAGGATTTAGACAAACTAATTAACCTGTCACTCATGTTTCCGGCAGGAAGCCGGAGTACCCAGAGAGAACCCACTCAAGCCAGAGGGATACATGCAAACTCCAGGTAGAGAGACCTTCTTGGTGCCAGGCAACTGTGCTACCAACTGCGCGAGAGTGTAGTTTGAAATAAATCCCAGCAAACCTAGTGTTGATTTCACTGACTTGTGTTCTTAGCCAGAAACAACATCAAGCTGAGAATATAACAGAGACTAACTATATGTTGACCATGCTTTTCTCCACCTGTCAGCCCAGACATACATAATATAGAGGTCTAATAAATGTTACATGAACATCACATGAAAGTTAACTTTTTTTTCTCTCAAAAGAGAGCTTCAGTGTTTCAGTTTTAGGTCTACAATATGCATAATTTAAAATTGAAAATCAAAGAAACAGTTTTCTGTCCTTCCAATGTTTTAAGTGGACCAAGCTACCCACCTGAGCAGGGCTGACACTTATGGGCTCCCTGAGGACAATCCAGGTGACGCTCTCCAAAAGGGGTGGAGTTGTCAAAGATCCATCATAAGTCCAATAATCCAGAGAACCAGGAAGAAGAGTTCTTGCATCAAAGTTAGAGAAAGTTGTCTGTTTTCCCTATTTGATTCACACAGAAGAGATAGACGCATAAAGCTGGAAGAACAAAGCTATCGATATGAGCACATTTGAACAAAACAAGTTCATTTCCACCTCAGGTGATTTTATTTTTTTTTTACCTTTGTCTTAATAGAGTCCAAAGCATCCAGAACTTTCTGAAGCCGGGGGTTGGCTGCACCAATCTGAATGAAAACATCACCTTTAATGTAGTTTTCTTCAAATACAAAGTTATTGGTAGACATTTTCTCCAACACATCTCTATTGGAGATGCTGGGAAAGATCACTGATTAGTTACTTTGAGAAAGATTCCAACCACAGCCAGTCCATCAGGCTTGTCAGCAGCCTCTCCAAAGCTGGGATATTTGGTATTCCAGTGCACAAGGTGAAGCTAATGAGGAAAGATGTATGCTGTTATCTGTAGTAGAAGGAACCTTTAAAAGTCAAGTAAACTGTGGATATTGGGTTGACATGCAGTGCAACTCCACACGCACACACAGATATATATATATATATATATATATATATATATATATATATATATACATATATATATATATATATATATATATATTATATATATATATATATATATATATATATACTTTATCAAAAAATAAAGTGAACACTCAAACAACACAATTTAACTCCAAGTAAATCAAACTTCTGTGAAATCAAATTGTCCACTTAGAAAGCAACACTGATTGACAATCAATATCACCTGCTGTTGTGCAAATGGAATAGACAACATGTGGAAATTATTTTATTTTTTTATATATATATATATATATATATATATATATATATATATATATATATATATATATATATATACATATATATATATATATATAACTAATAATGTGAATATTAGCAATAACCTTAAACTCCTCACATCAAATACAAGGCAACTTTGTCCCCTTAGTTTAAAGGCTCAGGTGTTGTTACACTGCTCAAAAAAATAAAGAAAACACTCAAATAACACATTCTAGATCTGAATGAATTAAATAAATATGAAAATAATTTCCACATGTTGTCTATTCCATTTGCACAACAGCAGGTGATATTGATTGTCAATCAGTGTTGCTTTCTAAGTGGACAATTTGATTTCACAGAAGTTTGATTTACTTGGAGTTAAATTGTGTTGTTTGAGTGTTCACTTTATTTTTTGATAAAGTATATATATATATATATATATATATATATATATATATATATATATATATATATATATATATACTGCTCAAAGTACTGCTCAAAAAATAAAGCGAACACTCAAACAACACAATTTAACTCCAAGTAAATCAAACTTCTGTGAAATCAAATTGTCCACTTAGAAAGCAACACTGATTGACAATCAATATCACCTGCTGTTGTGCAAATGGAATAGACAACATGTGGAAATTATTTATATATATATTTAATTCATTCAGATCTAGAATGTGTTATTTGAGTGTTTTCTTTATTTTTTTGAGCAGTGTAACAACACCTGAGCCTTTAAACTAAGGGGACAAAGTTGCCTTGTATTTGATGTGAGGAGTTTAAGGTTATTGCTAATATTCACATTATTAGTTTTCTATGGATGTGTTGGAATACAAACATAACTCAGCAAACTGTTGAATTCATTACCTCACAAGGGAATCTGATGCTGTTAATAGTGTGCTCAGAGCCTCTATCATCACTGCTTCCCCAGTGGAAATGAAACTGCTTCAGTCGGTATGTTCCAGAGATGGGGCCTCCAGTAAGGGCTGAGAAATACAAACAATAGATTCATTAAAACGGACAAAAAAATAACAACAAATAAATAATTTTTGCATTTCATCAGCCAATGACAAAGCTTTTTCAATAAAGCATACTAAAATGTTCCTGCTAGCTATGACTTCTGTAAGCTACTGGTGATCAGCTTCAAGAGGAAATAGTTGAACAATATACCATGAAAAACTAAAAATTACACATTTAGACTTCGATCCATTCATTTTCTAACACCCTTGTCCCTGGCTGGGTTGGAAGGGGTGCTGGTGCCTATCTCCAGCGAGACATTTTGGGCTAGAGGTGGGGTCACCCTGGACAGGTCACCAGTCTGTTGCAGGGCAACACAGAGACAAACAGGACAAACAACCATGCACACACACACACACCTTGGGAGAATTTAGAGAGACCAATTAACCTGATAGTCATGTTTTTAGACTGTGAGAGGAAGCCCGAATACCTGGAGAGAACCAGGTGCACAGGGAAAACAACTCCATGCAGAAAGATCCCGGGCCAGGAATTGAACCCAGGACCTTGCAAGGCAACAGAACTACCAATTGCGCCACTGTGGAGCCCATTTAGACTTTGAGAAGCTTTATCTGAGCCAGCCTCAACTGTGCCTAACAGTGTCTCCTTTATAAATAAACTGAAATGAATAAAATTGTTGACTACACATTAAGGGTAAATTCTTAGATAGTTCTCAAATTGTTTTCATCTGTTTATGTTGATCTTTTGATATTTGAAGTTGCCTGCATGTTCAAAAAAAAAAAAGACAGATATCCAGTAGTTATCTGTGACAACTACTGAAGCACAGAGTAAAACTGAAGAGTCACGATGATGGGCTGAACATGCATGTCGACCTTGAGATAAAGAACCATTGCTGTTGGAAGATAACGGAGCACTTACATCATCAGACATGCTTATCTGTAGGTACATACAGGATGGGTGGAGGAAACTAACAGGAGAGATAAAATTCAAAGGTAAAATAATATGTCCTGCAAGTACTTAAAATAAAAGTCAGAAACTAGGTTTTAGGAGTTTAGGATGTCATGTTTGTTATACCAAGAATACGTCTGAGTGATACAGGACTTGAAACAAAACTAAAAACCATTTCCAGAATGAGAATAAAATAATGAAGTGTGTGTTTGTGGTCCGTCAGAACTTTAGTCTCAAGCTTAGAGGTTAGCTTAGCTTACTGGAGTTGTCGGTGTCGTCCACAAAGTCCACCTGGAAGGAGTGTCCATTGTTGAGAATGCCCCTGGCACTGGACGGGTCATACTGGAGCTTCAGGCGCTTCAGAGACGGATCATATTGGGCCTCCTTGGTAACTATGTTGATGGGAGACTGCCTGGGTCCATTAGCAAGTGGAAAGTGTTCTGCCCACTTGTCAGGTCCTGTAAATATAAAAATGAGGAGCTATTCAAGTTCAAAGTCTTTACCTTGACCATTTTGATGTTCCAGTACATGTTGAAGAAAAGCAGCATTGCTCCCACAGAAACAAATGCAGTGTGATCATTCATAATGAATACTTACAGTAAGTAGTTGCAGAATGGTTCATTTAACAAGGCATCACTAATTTATTCCTTATGCAACATCTCTAATAAGTTTTGAAAAAATAGAACGTTATGAGTGAACTACAAATACAGGTCAAAATTTATTGCCAGCATCAATATGAACAGAACAAAATGTAAAATCTAGTAAGAATTTATGACTTTTATTAGGTTTACTGACCGCACAATAAGATATTTCACATATTTCAGATATCTGAAATATTTCAGATATTTCTAACATATTTTTTAACTGTAAAAGTCAATGCATTCAGAAAACTTTGCCGACTGAAACGAACAAGCATTATTCCTCATCAGAACCTTCAGAGTTGGGAATGTGAGAGCAGCGCATCATAAAGCGCATCATAAAGCTGATGATCTATTTTAACCGCAGTTGTTGCCATAAAGTCTTCAGGCTGTCCTGCTGCATTCATTACTGCAGAAAAGTGGGATGATTGTTCACGTTCAATGGCAACAAAGTGACAATTAAAACAGTTGAATAGATTTTAGACCTTTTAATTTTGAGTAAAAACTGCTGATTTAATAATGTTTGTGTCGCGCAGTTCCTGGGGCGGCTGTGAACGGCAATTAAAACCAAAAGTTCCCATTGGGTGGATTTTATTTGGTTATTCAATATTGTTTACCTTAATGTTAAATTACAATTAAATTCTACTTAATAATTTTGAGCTGCAAGGGTTTAGACGGAAATAAGTAAAATGTAATTTAAATAATTTGTTAAAAGTGTAATAAAACACACTCTCATTTTTATTTATTTTATTTATTTATCACCTCTTTTGTAAATATTAATGTAACCCAGACACAATGTAATAAGGACTTCCCGCTGGCAGTGCAGGAGGCTGCAGGGTTCTTACCGTCGCTCGGTCCGTATCCCCATCCGTGAGACATGGCTACTGCTGAACGCTGCACCGGTGGATCAGGCAGTGTTCTGTCCGAGGCAGAGGATGCACGGGAGACCAACACAGAGGCGCTTTATGAAGGACCTGGTCATGCTTGCTGTGAGGGGCTTGGCTTGCATGGTTACGTCATTTCTCCCCTCCTTGGTTGTTGAGTGTGCAAAGCTGTGAGACATGAGATGTGTTGGGAAGCAGAGACAACTGCTGGTTCCGATCCGAACAGGTCAGGATTCAAGCCCTTAGCACTGATTTCAACTTTTGAAGGTACTCCCAGTTATCCTGAAGACTTGATGTCAACATGCTGGTGTGTGTTTCTCAGGAGTTAAAGAAGTTTCACGTTCTTGCGAGTTTTATGACAAAAATCATCAGTGGCTCACTGGGTGAACCAAAACAAGATCATGAATATTTTACTATCATATAGTCTACCTGTATGGAAAATGCAAAAGTTAAACCACTTCAAAATGTGAAAAATATATCTTTGTATTGGTTCTGCCACCTAAGTCATTAGCTACATTTACATTTATTGATGTAATTACAATTCGTCTAAATTGTCTTTTAAGTTGTTTACAAAACTTGAACTTTTACTTTTATTTGAATTTGTTTTGAATAGTTACTCAGTTACATTTGAAATTATTTCAATTTCAAATCAAACACCAGAAAAAAAAAACAGCATTTATTGAGATCTCATGGTGTTGCATCAACTGGAAGACAGAGGAGGAAGGAAAAACCATAAAGTTTAGTTCAAGTTAAAAGAAAATTCCTTGCTGAATTTAATGCATCAAGTTAACTGTAAGTATGAGAAAGGCAACAGCTTTATCAAACATTATGAACTTGAATATTTTAGCAACAAATGTAAATGTCAATTTAATCAGGTGATTATTATTTGTATTGACTAAACAGAAAATCAGGTGCTTTTGGAGCCATTTATTTAACTATTATGTAACAGACAAACAACTGATATAAGATACTGGAAATTATTATATGCCATCTTATGCCACTAAAAATATAGGCTACATAATAGTTGCTTTTTATTGGAGGCCAATATGTTTTCATTTTTTTTGTATATATAAATATATTAGAAATAATAAGAATGAATAAGAATTCTAATAAGAATTAGAAATAATAAGAATAAAAATTATAAATAATAATTTCTAATGTAAACTCAGTTTCTTTTACATCTAATGTATTTTTTATTGATAAAAAAAAAAGTTCCTTGGTGCCCCCTGGTGGCCGCGGTAGGTACCGCACACTTCACCAGTATCATGAGCTGCTGTGCAGTTTGCAGAGCATCCAAAGGTCCAAAGCTCCGCTCAGAAGTTCATTAAGCAAAACAATGTCTCAAAAAATAACTTATCCGTCAGGGGGGGATAAAAGAAAGAGAAGAGACAGAAAAAAGCCAAGCTAAAAGTTTGCTTTAATGTGTCTTGGTTATGTAATGTAAAAGATTTGTAAAACTGCTCAGAGAAAATTAACTTGAACAGTCCAGTTCAACAGCCAAACATTTATGCTAAACTATTTGTATTTATTTGAAACTGAGTTTAAGCTTTAAATGAGTTGATCCTCATGGCTGGCTCTGAATATTTCTCAGGTATTTTTGGCGTTAGAATGCAGTGCTTGGTAACGTTTCATAATTAAAACTTGTCAATGACTGACATTGTCAAGCAAAATGTTTCTATGTCAGGCTGCATGGCTGCTGCTCGGAAGAGCTACTCTATGCTGTCGTTGGGGATTTATAGTTTGCTGCTTTGCATAATCATTACAAACATTATTTTTACATCAACTTCTAAGTTATGTGAAACTTCTGTTAAAATCATTTGAAGACCAGTCCACATGCCAGAGGAGAAAGACTCACCTGGTATAAATGACATTTATAGCTATTGGAGTAATGCTTAAGAGAAATGTATTTAATCTAAGAATGTCATGAATATGTGTGTATAGGGCTGTACATTTTGCAGTTTTCTAGCCGATCCCTGATTACCCATCTTTAAGAAGCCTGACCTGCCAATTTTTATTTTGGCTGAAATGAGTTATTTTTAATGTCTGAAATGTTGCTAAATGTAGCAAGAAAGTCCCTGAATTGGCAACAATGGGTTGAATGTTGTTAACTGTAAATGTGCAGACCTGACCTGATTGGCTGGTCTGTCAGTCAAACCTCTCACTTTAGAGCAGACGAGGACAGAGACTGACTTTTAACCCTCTCCAGGCAGATGTTGCAGATTTGCAACAGCTAAATGCTACTTAGCTAGTCTTTGCAAGTAATTTGAGCCTGAGAGGGTTAAACCTTTCCTGATGAAGATCAGAGCAGAGATAAGATCAGCTTCACATGTCAGTATCGGCCATGTACTTACATGTGAATGTGAACCAATCGATGAATCAGTTTCCAATAAATGTATCCTATTATAAATATATATGATGTAAACAGCACTGACAGAGATGCAATGAGTTTATAGCAGGTGTGTGAATGATGTAATGATTGGACTGCCGATTGCAGCCAGTTCACATTGTTAGCAGAACAATGTGAACTGTGAACTGTGGCCCTAAGCCGCATTTTGCTTAGGGCCCCATGGAGGCATGGGCCGGCCCTGTGGGCAATGAATACTTTTTAACATTCTGTCTGAATATTCAGCAATACACTGGACGTGTATGAATGTTATCAAATAATACAGTGAAATGTTACCACTGCAAAGAGAAAAGAAAAAGAAAAAAGAAAACATAGAAATTAAAAGAAAAATTCTAAATATTAATTATGTTATGTTTAACGTAACATAAACAACTATCATGTTATTTAAATAACTGTTATGTCATTTATGTACATAACACTACATAAAATGAACTGTTATGTTCATTTTCTAGTTAAGGACATGTTGATAGGCTTTCTTCTCCGTGTCACAGGAGAGAACGAGGGGCCCCTCAATGCCTGTAAGGGTGGTCCCTGGCAGGAGCTGGCTAAAGGGCGGCTAGCTCAAGACTTAGGCAGAGCTTGTTCAAAGTTTCAAGCCAAGTCCACAGTTTCGGAAAAGTTACATACTGCAGCTTTAAGTCCACACTTAAACCAAATTCACAGTTAATGCATCAACTGATTCTATGATATTCCGACTATTTTTTTCTACTTCTACATAAACAGATAAAGAAGTCACTCAGAAATGTCAGTTTGTCTGCAGTGATACTGGAATACTGTGACATTGAATAAAACAATACTCTGTTTTTGGTGAAATATTTTTCACATTTCCTCTAAAGTGTACCTATTGTATTCATTTTCATAAGCACGTTCTCTGAAAACTGTTAATATAATGACAATTTGTACAATTCTCTGATAGTATATTGGCAATGTACTCTTGATAAATGTGAATATATTTAATACACAATGTAATTAGCTTCACCTGGAAAGTGTGTTGCTATTGATCCTTCTGTGTTCTGGTAGCCTGATGTGTTTTCAGTACTGTATCATTTATGAAGCATGCTTTGCCACAAAGTGGCAAAGCAGAATAATAAAAGACATCAAGTAACTGAAAAGTGCATTTCATTAGCAATTATAATAAACTAAAAGTGTAATTGTAGCATACACACTACTAATATATAAAATATGCTATTCCAATATACTTAAAATACAATTTAAATATATTTTAAATGTAATACATGCACAAAAATGGTACAATTATGATGTACTAATTAACGCAGTGCTTGGTAACATTTCATAATTAAAACTTGTCAATGACTGACATTGTCAAGCAAAATGTTTCTTTTTGCTTGACAATGCCATTTACTTAAAGTATACTCAGTATAACATTGATTGTTCCAATTTGATAGCACACTTGATACATTTTAAATTGTGATTTGTGTTACTATTTAAATACATTAAGCAAGGAAAAAGTTATTTCACAGTATGTTTCAAGTTGAATAATCCTTAAAAAACCTGAAGTACTCTGATGATTAGTCTGGCTCCAAGTATATTTATTTTCACAGGGTCTGCCTCCCTCCAGTCACATTTTTTCTTTCTTTTTTGCAAACAATTGATTTATCTAACTTTTAATTTGTTTATTGTTTTTTTTTTTCTACCAGTAATTATTTCATTTGATAATTTCATTGTGTGTCTTTAGTGGTTAAATGTTCGAGTTTCTGTTCTGAACCTTCATTGGCTGAAAAGTGTTACATAGTTTTTTTGCCAGCTCAGTCATTTTTGGATGCTATCTTGTATAACTCACATCCTCGCCATATGAATTCATTTCCATTATCAGATCTTACAAGGAATGTTCCTTCATCTGAATTTGAGTAAATCTTATCACGTTAGCAAGATGCTGCTTCTGTTTTTCTTCCACAATAAAAGTGAAATGTTAATGAAAACATCACTTAATGACAGGATTAATTAGATGAAGATCTCTGGGGTTTTGGACGTTACAGGTTCTTGTGCTTTTCAGCAGAGGGTTGAGTTTGGTCTAGAGTCTAGTAAATGAAGTTCTATTTTAAAAACAATTTATGTGCAAATTTGACTAATGCATTACTGAAAAAAAAATCCTTAGATATTGTTTTGATGCAAGCCAAAGCTACCATTAGCTGCCTTTAGCAGAGTGGCGCTATGCCATATGTTTAAATGTTCTTTCTTTCTCTCCTCCTGCCTCTTGTCGGTCTTTTATTTTTGGAGCCCATCCATCTGTCTTCCGGTACAGTTCTGGCTGTGAGCGCTTGATATGCTGCCGCAGATGACGGACCGCAGGCTTGCGCCTCCTGTGCGCGCACATCCCCGATCACTCTGACACACACGCACGCACACGAACCGACAGTGGCTGTTTTCGCCTCCTGGTCTCCGGAATCAGAGGAGCTTTGGGATTTAGCAGCCGGTGTTCTCTCGTTCAGGCGGCGGTGTGTGAGGAGCTGCGGAGGTAAGCTGGAAGCTCTCTTTGACACATGCGGTGCGGTGCGGTGCGGTGATGTGCGGTGCGGTTCTCCAGCCTGTCTCGGCGCCCCCTTACTCGCATTGCTCTCACGGGGCTCCGCTGATGGAATGTGACAGCCATCATTAACGGCCTTATGCTTCCGATTCACCTGCGCTGGCGTTCATGGAAGCTCCGGACGCTGCTCTCCACAGTGCGCCTCCACAGCTGTCTGTTTCTGCGCCTCTCTTTCTCATCTGCTCACTAATGGTTCACACTGAAATGACGAGAAAGATCCTCAAGCGAATCCTCGAGAAAAAAAAGAAAAAGAAAAAAAAAAGAAAGAGAAAATCTATGTTTAGCTGTGCGCCCACGCAGTGCGTCGTTCCCCATGATGGGAGGGAAAGTTTAATCGCTCATCTGCAGACTGATTTTTCGTTGGAGGTGATGGTGATCACAGATGCAGTGAGGGGGCTAGTCAGGATCCGGAGGAATTTTCAGTAATCTCTGCAGATATAACTCCTGGGTTATTGTTTTCATCTTCTTGAAGGAGCAAACAGCCTATGGATTGAAATGTGTGGGTGACGTGACAGATTTCCACTGGAGGGGGATCCTCCAGTGGAAATCATGGCACCTTAAACAAAGCGCACCTGCGCAGCTGGATGGAGAGGTGGAACCTGGTCCTGCTGATTAAAAAATGCTGCTGCTGCCTCCTCCAGCTGACAGGCTGCTGTGATGTCATCAGAGCTGCCTGCATGTACAAGCATACAGAGCAACAAGCATCTTCTGCTCCACTGACAAGTTGTGAGCTCATAGAGGAGAGCGTGGCTCAGAAGGAAGTGTGAGCGTAATCTCTTTGTCATTTCCCACTCTTATCAGCAGACACGAGCTGTGAGTAGTTCCCTGTGAAGACTCTTATTCATATGTTCACTCCTTCCTCCTTATCCTGTTCAATAATTGGTACCTGCTCTGCTCATTGAAGATGGATTGCAACTATTTGCATTTATTCAGTCACATTTACTTGAGTAAGGTTTTGGAAAAAAAAAGTGATCATTGAAATAATTCAACTTATTCAGTAATTAATTAATAGTTGACTGGAGTACAGAAAGTCAAAAAGGTAATTTGCAGAAAAAAAGTCCTTCTCTGTCCGTAAATATGTTCTCCCCAGAATTCCTCAAGAGACACAGTTTAAGCGTCATTTGGTTCACATTCTGTAAAAAAAAAAAAAAAAAAAAAAAAAAAAAAAAAATCTATAAAGCACCTGCTAATTGCTACTCAATTATTAATCAGTTAATCTAAAATTTACTTCCTGCTATAATCTTACTTGATTGTTTTTTACATGTTTGAGAATGAATAGTCCAGCTTTTCTTTGGAATCTGAATATTTTAATCAGCCAAATAAGAAAAAAAATAATAATTTAACAAATATTAAGTATACATAAGCAACTCAGAAGTGAAGATTCTAAGTACAGCACCTTCAAATTAATTGTCTGAAGTTTTTATTATTGATTATAAACATCTTATTAATTTTAAAAATAGTAATTTACCACCTCATATTACTTTTTCAGATTATTACGAGTACAATCATGATAGTCTAATGTTTACCCCCTTTGTCACACTATATTTACTGTCTGAACTAACAAATAATAATAGGTCGGAAAAGTTATTATTATTTCATATTTAAGTTATTACCAATTTAATAACTTTGGTCAGAGTTGTTTACACAATTGGATGATTATTTTACAATAACTGCTAAACATTGATTAACAAAGAAATTTTATTTTATCACTGTCATCAGGTAACATCAGTTATCTACAGCATAGAAAGAGACATGTATTTGTTTTTGTAAAAATGAATTTTTAGAATAACACAAATCTCCAGAGCCCGTAAGGGGACAAGGAGGGAAAACAAGTAATCCCGAATCCCAACTTACTTTCTTGAGATCCGGAGAAACTTTTAGAACATTTTGCGTTCTTTTTGGGTGAAAAGTCTCTGTATACACATTCTGAAAAGCTGATAGTGGTGGTGGAGTCTAAACGAGAGACACAGAGGACGATTTGCATCATTTCATATGGTCCACAGGTGTGCCAGATGAGGATGTTATGCTAAGTTGGCTTATGATTGCAGCTTCCAATTGGGGAAAAACTATTTTCACCAGCTTCAGTGTCTTTTATCTACTCTAGTTAAAAAACTGCAATATCTTTAATAGATTAGTTTGTGATTTGTGAAACTTCAAGATAAGGTGATTTAAGTACTATATTTGCATCTGGACCACATGAGAACTGAACTCCACCTTATCAGCATTATTTCCCTGTTTTCCCCTTTTAGGTTTCTATTTTTTTCTTTTTTTATATTCAGTGCAGCAAGATCTTATGTGAGTTCAAACAATATAGCTCAGTTAATTATTCAAAGTTGTTTGAAAAGTGAATTTCTAAGGAAACCCAACAGATTGCATTAAGTCATTGACTTGCAGCATTCACTCCTGGAGCAGCAGTGACAGTAGAAAATGGCAGGATGCATTCAGGAATGGAAAAAATATTCAGAAAGGCAGGTTAGATGTAGAGTATATGCACCATATGAGAAGCCTACAGTTAGTCAGCTGTGGATGTAACGCAGGAGTCCATAAATGCACTGGAAAACACAAAAGACCTAGAAGGGGCTGAGGCAGTGGAACAAACTGAGCATGAGGTAAGAGAATGAAAGTGATTGAAGCAATATGAGAATCCAACAATAATCATGGATTAAAACAGAAAAAATATTTCAAGTGATTTATAACTGTCTTTTTGCAGTAAGAGAGAAGAGCTTCTCAGTAAAAAAAAAAAAAAAAAATCAACTAAAAATAAAACCTGAAATCAAATGAAAACTGTAAAATAAAAATGTAGAATTTTTATTATAGTCAAAACTTTTATAAGTCCTGCCCTTATTAGCTCCGGCATCCTTTAAGGTACAAAACAAAACATTGAAAACTACATATTCCATTATTTCATAACTAAATACAAACAACCAATGGTGTTAATCAAAACAAACAAACATCTAAAAATAATCTGCACAATCTGGAAATTTATTTTAAATAATTTACAGTCAGCTATACCATAATTATTTTTAGAAAAAGGAGACGAGGAAGAGAATGTCAGGACATGAAGTTGAAGAGAATCTCTGTGAGCTTTTGGAAAGCTCTTTTTCTGCTCTGCAGACCTCCCTGAATTAAGGGAGTGGAGCTTCGCTGCTCCAAAAACTCTAAATCACATTTTAAAGTACGAACATCCTGGATGAAATGAGTGGATAGATGAAGCTATGAAGTCTACTTTCTTGCCTAAAGACATCTTAAAACTACTTTTTGTGTGACAAATTAATAGTGTAAAAGCGCTGCATTTCCTACTCACTCTCTCTACATATCGCTGCTGGTGGTGCAATACGTTGTGGGATCAAGTCTATAGAAAGATGCATTGGTGCTTCATCAATAAAACGGACGGAAGAATAACACATGCAGGCTTTGCCTACTTAAACAGTATTTGTGGCACCATTGATGATGTTTCACAAATACACAAGCATGAACATGTGTACATATTAAAAAAACACCAATGCAGTCATATTTAACAGCTTTTAAGACTCTTCTAGTGACTGTGTTTCAAAAATAAAATCTTCTACTATTCAGAACTTCACTCTGCAGCAACTGTCTGCATGCAGTGAGTGCTGCTGTGAGCCCTAACCCCATTCCAAAGCACTAGAAAAGGTCTCACAGTCATCCTTCAGTAATCCCCACCTGCAGCCAGAGCAGAGAGGAGACGCTGAGGAACATTGATCGATGTAGATTATCAGCTCTGCACATATGTGCAATGTGGATACAGAGAGGAGACACAATATACTCTGTGCCACATTGTAAATAAATCATGCACACACAGAGCTGAAATCAATTTTCACAATGCAACATAGACATCAGCCAACTTTAGGAGGAAAATTCAACTGCAGCAAAGATTGTTGTTGGCCAAATATTGTAGAATTAAACAAATTCACATAAAAATGTCACAATTTGCACACTAGCAAAATATAGCACCCTTAAGACCCAATTTACAGAGTTTACTTGCAAAAAAAGATTATTCAGATTTTAGTAAAGAGTAACTAGATAAACTAACAAACCTTTAAGAGCCGGACTTCTTGTCAGCTTCTAGGTAATGCAATACTTATTTCATGCAATAAAATGCAAGTTAAGTATTTAAAACTTGTATATTGTGGTTTTCTGTATTATTTTTTACATTATGTCTCTCGTAGTTGAGGTGTGCCCGCAATAAAAATTGCAAAGCTTTCCATTCTTTGTAAGTGGGCTAACTTGAAAAATCAATGATACATCAAACACTGGTTTCCCAATATTTTATAAGTTTGTTTGGTTTAAGTGTCATCCGTTGAGATACTAAAATCATCTTCACTGTTCAATTAATTGAGTTAAGAAATGTAGTAAAACTGACACAATGATCTGTTTGAAGTCTGCTCAGTTAACTAATGGGTAACTAATGCGCCCAGATTCTGGTCTCAAAGTTTCTTCCAACATTTTTTCAGAGAAAATTTCAGCAGAAGGAAAATGTTTTCTACTTATGGTTAGCCTTTGATTCTTCTTGCATCTCGCTGTGCTTCTGTAAAACCAACAAAGCCGAGAGCATCACTCTGTTTCTCAACATCTGACTTAAAGTCTTTTTAGTTTTATTTTTTCCATGGATGACAAAACTGATAAAATCATTCTTGTGGCTTTGCCACTGAAGAGCTCTTTTATCACTTGGTGATCTCATCACACCAGAGATTGGAAAGCCTAACCCAGAGTCCCCATTCTTCACTTCCTTAATGGAAGGCATGTTGGTGGGATTGCGGTATCTCAAAGACGCATGCTGCTTTGATTGCCGGTACCCATTAGCTGCTTCTTAGGTCCCAAAAAGACCCAAAGGACTCCTTCTTCAGTCTGACAGCATCCCTCCCCAAAGGTGTCCATCATTGGCTTTGAGGATTGCCGCTGTGACAGGC